CACCATCAACCCCACCATCAACCCCACCACCATCACCACCTTCATCAACACCATCACGACCACGATTATCACCACCGCCGCCACCACCATCATCAACACCACCATCACCACCATCGCCACCATCCACACCATCACCACCATCACTACCACCGCCATCACCACGAACACTATCACCACCATCATCACCACATCCATCGTCACCACATCGCCTCCATCAACACCACCACTACCGCAACCACCACGATCACTTTCATCACCACCATCACCCGCTCTCTCTCTCTCTCTCTCTGTTTGGGGCCCTAAGCGATTTATATAGATCTCTAGACCTTCTGCTTCTAGACCTCTAGTCCTCTAGACCTTAGATAGGTAAACGCACTGTTTTGGGTCTCTTGCCGGGATAATTTTGAGGGAATTTTTTGTGATTTTGTTTGACACACAGTGGTCCGACCTGACCTTATCAATGACGGGGACGACGGTGCTTCATGCGCGGTCACGAACATAAGGAAACGTTGGCAAATCCTGCCAACTTGTTGGTTCATGCGCACCATAACCCACCCCTATATTATTTCAGCAGAAGGGGCTGGATCATGTGACCCGAAAAGATGCAGCTGGTTCAATTCATAACCGACCAATTTCAACTCGAGTCTTGAAACTGTGTACCTTCACTAATCGCAATTATTTGCAGATGTTGCCCTTGTCACGCTTGAATCTCAGTTTTGAACGAATGACAAATGTGTCAACCTCGAAATGATCAACCTCAAAATGAACATTTCGTTTTTGCCTCTTGCAAGCTGTCGCAATGAACCACCTCGATGTCACAGAAGGCGACGCATAAGGGTTGACTGTATCATGGCAAGGCTTTCTGATATGGGGTAAGGCAGTCCCTGTACGCAAGCCTTGCGTGTTTGCAGGTGCAACCAGGTCTGTGGGGCTAAAGCAGGTAATAGCGGAATTGTTTGGTGCACTAAGTGCGCGCTCCCTGCATCTTTCTTTCACTATCTCTCTATATCTCCCTCCCTCCTTCCCTCCCTCCTCCCTCAGGGCTCACAAGTTTCACGTATAAACAACATGCCTCAGAACACCTGGTATAAAGTGTCATGCCATACATCACATACCCAACACCCTTCATAGCAAGCGTCAAACAAAGAAAACAGAACAATGCGCAGCACCCCTTGCCAAATCAGTCTGGGAGGGTGGCCGCAGGCGGTTAAAATGTGCAGCAGAAACAGCATCGCGTGCTATATTCGATGTAGAAGGCCAAATATATAATGAAAATTCTATCATTGCAATGGCATCAAATCACCACCAACCCGGCCAATAGGGGTCCTAAGGGAAACACGCACGATGCGCCTGGCAATGCTGGATTTGGCGCAAGCAAGCCACTGTAGCGCACAGCTTCTGCGGCGCAAAGCCATTAGGCATTGAAATGCTGCGAAATGGGGCAGACAGCGACACGAAGGTGCTAGGCCTGACTGGCAGGTAGTTTGACAGCGCGGCAGGCCGTGGATGTTTTCGCTTCTGGTCAGGATGGATTGTTGTCAATGGCATCCAGCCTTTTTTGGAGAATAAGTTGCGCTCGAGAAGTTGGAGTGCCCGAAGAACAAGAGTGTGTGAAGATGTGTCAAGTAATTATATGAAATGAAGCAGTACGTAATTGATTCTCACATTCGCAGGGTCAGTTCATGAATGCTCTGATTGGAGATAGTTTGGCCAGCTTTCCACTCCCAACAAGAGCAGCGATGTCATCCGCCAACTTAGCCGTACATCGCCTAAGAGACCCGGTACATATGGTACAGGTGCAGTTGTCCAGGGTCACCTCTTTGACACTGTATCTATACACCTTCAAGCAAGCAGCGCCAAACCTTGCAAAAACCACTCCGCAACGTTCGGGCCGCCGAAGCGAAGCTAGCTTCGGGGTCCAGGCCACCTGCAGAACCGCCTTCCCCAATCCTGGTCAAATGAAGGATTTTCTTGTCAGTCATCAGCCATATTGGAAAGTTTCCATCAACTTGCTGAAGGTCATGTTTGCCTATTCGTCCAAACCCCTGAAGACCCTGCACAAAAGAACAATCGGCGGCAAGGTGTTTGCAGCTTAGCTTCAACTGTCGCACGTAGTAGGAAATACTAACGGATATGATATGTATGACGCGCCGGCCACTTTTGCAGGCAAACTCTCTAAGGCCACAGTCCATCAATCAGGTGTGTAGTCAGCACGCCAATATACTCTCGAGCATCGCTACATGGCTTCGAAGAGTTGCTGCATATCTATGCCCAGGAGCTTCTAACAGGAGCAAAGCGCGCCAGTCGATCCGTCAACCGTTTTTCTTAACGCACAACACCAGTCTCATTCGTTGCACTGGCTCGAAAGACCCATGGCACTACCACAGCAGCAGCAGCGGCAGCGGCAGCACCCGCAGCAGCGGCGCCACCATGAAACTTGCAACCTACTGGACCCCAGGACCCTTGATTTTGGATTGGAACTTGGAGCTATTGGCTATGATTCCAACTAGCGCAAACAGTTTGTCAATGTGTGGGTCACAACTTGTATTGTTGCGTGGTCTTTGACCACTTGATTAAGGCGGTTTCCCTGAGTTGTTGTACATGCACGCCTGTATCGCATGGTCCACCACGCTTGGGGAAGCAGTGTCATTCGCGCGACAAGCCGTGTGCGAGGAAGATGTGAGGTTCGGATATGGTTGAGCAACTTTGTATTCTACTGTTTCGGCTTCAGGTTTTGGAACTCGGTCGTGCGCTCTGGGAGTGAAAAGAACGAAGAGAGACAACCCACAAAAACAGCAGCTGATTTTTCCGCCAAAAAGATGCTCTCTTGAACAGTACTGAAACCTTGAGCTTGACAGTGGGGGATGAACAAATGGTTGACACAAGACACCTTTCCAATAAAGAAAAGCACGTGCGAATTTCAATCCTTATGAAATGTATGATGCATTGAGACTGCCGTGTTCCCTAAAATCATCCTTCTGGAGAAATAATGACATTTGCACGGCGAGGCAGAGCCGGCACCCTTGTTTTTGCTTTTCGCGTATGTTTGGCTTTAGTTTCGGATAGCTTGAGTGTTTGTGTATAGATTTGTCTCCTCATTTGCTGCGGTTTCCGGGCATTTGCACACGCGCCCCGGTTGCTTTACAATCTTGGTTTCTGCGCTCGTACGTTGCATTGTCTCTCCTTAGCTGCAGTTTTTTCAGAACTATTTTGGTTTGGGTGGTTTCTTTGTTGTTTTCTGCTTTTTTCGATTCCTGATGTGGCTTTGCAGCTTCTGTGTTTTCTTTGAGCTTGTTTGCCCTCCTCAAATCTCAGTCATATGAGCCTTGCTCATGTTTCGGGGAGGGAGATTTGGGCTCAGGTTCATTTGGGCTGCAAATCCAGCAGTAGCTTTAGTTGGGTTCACTCACTCCTGGAGACGTAGGGTCGGGTCCGCCGGGCAGGATGGTCCAACTGCGCTCACGGCTGGATGAGTGACTACAAAGGCCACTGGTACCACGAGACACAAAGTGGTTGCGGTTCCGGAACAGGATGGCGCAGTGGAAGCAACCAGAATGCTGTGGGCGCCTACTGCTGCCACGTTGCCCCAGCAATTTCAAGGGAGTACGTGGGGAGCCCAGCAAATCAAGCCTTCCAGGTGGCCACGTTTCCTATGTATCGGATGCGCTCCAAGGCTCCTTCATTTCATAGTCTTACCGTCTTACCGCAATCAAAGAAACCTAAAGAAACGTATTCATATATCAGATACACGCGGCAAATCAGAATTGTAGCGTTCATCCGCGTTGCAGAATTCCGGTGTCAAAGGTGTCAGTGAAACTAACTAATTATTGTTAGTGTAAGACCAACCAGATGATGCCTTCTTGGCCGAAATTCAAACCATATGCAGACCCCCTTATAACACGCACCTGTAGGGTCTCATCAGTCTCCCCATTGTGTGTTTCAAGCTTTTTGGTTGCGTGTTTCTTTTGCCCAAGCTTGAGACGAAGCCCTTTTGTCAAAGAATGCAGCAGGGTATGCAGGTCAATGCTCACCATGTTGGGTTGTGTACCTGGAATCTGCCAATGGGTCAGGCAAGTTGGAACTTAGGGCCGAAGAAAATGGGCAGCCCTTGCAAAGTCCAGGAGACCCAAGCAACACTCAGGAGGTTCTATTCAATCATTTAAGGTAGGCAGGGTCGGTGATGAGGAATTATTTGGGAAGCTTCAAGTCAAAGTCTCCCCGATGTTTGAATGCTCAAGCCAAAACTGGGGAGATGCCCCTGAGGAGCAGTGCCACTGCTGGTACCTCAGGTTAAAGTTTTCTTCAGTTGTGTCGCCATGGCGAGTGATGATGCGCAGATCCGCCGCGCTGTCGAGCAGACCAAGCTCGAGCGGTGGTGTGCTGCCCATCATATTGAGGCGACCTCCGATTTGGCCTTTTACTTCGTGACCTATGACGAGGCCTTATTCAAGGGGCGCGCTGTGGCGGATGCTTGGGAACAGGCGCCCCGTCAGGTTGAGATCGGCGCGGGCGCTCTTGTGCGGGACCTGTTCCGTCGCGAGCAGGTTTCGCAGGCTGCGCTGAGGCCAACTACGTCGCCGACTTTGACACCGCGGCCTACTCCGTCCTTTGCAGGGCCTGTCAGGCCCAGCGCCCAGGGCCACCAGTCGGGTGGCCCTGCTGGAGGCGCGTTGGTCTTCTTGCCCCAGCTCATGGCGATTCTCTTGGCGATTGAGCCCACACCGGCTGCGCGCTTGGCAGAGATTACCGCCAACTTTGAGGTGCGGCTCAAGAGTGTGCTCCAGAGAGCGGAGGCCGCGACCGTGAAGCGAGCGCTCCACACGTGGCAAGAACTGCAGGGGGCCATTGCAGCGGCTGGCAGTGAGCAGCCGGACAAACATCTGTTGGCCACTTTCATTAGGGAACACGCTGCGCCTACAAGGGCCTATACAGCGCTGGGATGGCTCGTGCGCAACTTACGGCTGCCATTTGATCTTTCGGAGGTGGTCAAACCTCGATCTGGCCTGGGCACTCGCCTTGGTCAAGGGCAGGCCCAGGCGGCCACATTGGAGCCATCCATGGTGCTACACCTGCTGGGCACACTGGAGTCAACAGTTGCTCACCCCCACTGGCCTTTGGTCTTTTGCGCCTACGCTATGTGTTTCGGGGTTGTTCGTTACACTCACCTGCAACGTAGCTACTTGGTGGGCGGCAATGGAGGCATCTTGGTCTTCTGGCGCACGAAAGGCAAGACTGGGAGCCGTGGTGGCTTTGCCTGGAGCGTGCCACGCTACTGTGGCACCTTGGATTTGTTGCAGGTGTTGGGCAACCCCCTCAACAAGGTGCGACCCCATTCGGGTGCTGCTTTCAAGCGCTGGCACTGGTTGGGCTTTGATTCGGCTACAGCCCACCCAGTGGGGACGGCTCAGTTCACCCGCATTTTGCGCCCACATTTGAGCGCCGCCATGGATGTTACAAGTTTGTCCTCGCACTCCTTCCGCAGAGTCCTCCCAACGCTGGCAGGTTACGCTGGACTGTCCGAGACAGAGCGCCTTGCTCTTGGTCAATGGACTGACCAGTCGTCTAAGACCACAGCGAAAACCCCCTTGCGGTATGACTCTCAGAAGCAGCGCCTGGGGCACCAGCTACGTTTGGCTGGTTTGAACTTCTTCCAGGACCTTCATATGGCATTGTGGGACGAGCTCCCCACGGGCTATGCACAGGCGCGCTGGACAACCTGTATGGGTGACGCTGACGAGTTGCTTGCTGGTGTATAGCTGTTGTCCTGGTTGTCCCTGGTTCAAGGTTTGAGAAATCAAAAATCAACATGAAAATACGTTAACATTTACAAATATTGGAAACATTAGTATATATCGATGTACTTGTTTTAAACTAATTTTTGAAAGACAGCTATTCTAAAACATGTATTTGTTAAAACAAAACTTGAAATGCGAAGACAAAATTGATCTTGGAATTTATTGATTTTAAGAAGTGCCAATTCAACGTCATTTTTCATACTTTTTAATAGCCGGGCCAGTCCACTTAACAAACCGGTTTTTCAATTGTTTGTGGAGTAGCCCAAGCAGTCCAGTTTGACACCAAGCAGGGCTGCTGGGCGAGCCCACACGGCTGTGCTCTGTGCTCGTTTGTTGTCACGTCTCCTGCCCGCAGCTGTATCATCAAATTCTAAACCAGGTCTTTTTCGCTTGCCATGCCTGGCATTGACAAGGAGATGGTTTGTTGGGGCTTTCGGTGGCAAGGCGCCCCATTCTGAAGTTGAGATCCCTGGCAATGTACATTTGAAGGCGATTCTGTAGGCAGGATTTTCGAGCGGGGCATCTTCGCTTTCTGGGCATGAGACACTAGAATTTCGAGCAGCTCTTTGCAGCACGCGTGGTTTGTCTACTACATGTTACTACATAGTTCTGGGCATGGACGTTGTGAAGCTTTAGTTGCTTGAGAGAATTGTTGCTGTCAACGCGAAGGCGTTGTATGGAAATATCCTCACGAATGTTTTCTGGATTGGCTGAGTGAAAATGGAACGATTCGCACTGAACCTTGCTTCATATTGAAGGGATCAGAAACGGCATTTGTGCATCAGGCTGTTGATTGCTTCTGTTTCCTGACATGGCACATGCTTGAGTCAGTCAGATCCTGCTTTTGATTTGCTTGATTGATGGTGGTTGCTGCCACTACTCAGCATGGGGCATGGGGTAAGAGCATGGCCACGACGAAGATGAACAAACATATCAAGTCCTCAAAATTTACAGATATTCACAGTACTAAGTAGACTGTAGGGATATTTAAAACTACAAATCAAATTAGTATTCGTCGAGATGCTTACTGTTTTCAGTTTCCTCATGCAAAGATTTCTTGAATTTTAGCTTTGGATTTAGATTTTCACAGGAAAGGAAGCGCTGGCTAATTGCTCTTGAACTTAATTAAGATGGATCTTGGACTTTCTTGCAGCGAAGACGACGAGCTCCTCACTCCTCCTCGAAAAACGTTGGATGTCAATCCAAAGACGGGAGAGAAATCGAAGTCACTCAGTGTTTGATTTAGTGTTTGTTGTTTGTTGTGGAGGGTGGTGGGTTTTGGAGGGTTTGGTTGATTGTTTTTAAGTTGTTTTGTTGTTGTTTTTGGGGATTGCTTTTCTAAATGGATGAGGCTAGTGAAGGAGAAGCCGGAGAAGAATGAAGAAGTCAACCTGATCCAGTTTTGGAAAAACCACAAGGGATGTCTACGAGAAGAAGCAACGATGAAGTGTGGCATCAACAGCATTGACAAGCTTGATGCATCTCAAATGCACCAACTCAAAACTAGTTGGTTGATAGCACTGGAAGATAACACAGGTGTGCATCTTCAGTGCCTTGCTTGCTCCAAAGCAAACCTGGGCTCGTTGTGGGGAAAGGGACGGGTGCCTTTGACAAGTAGTTTCAAAAAAGTTCGACGGTCGATTATTCGGCATAGTCGGTCCAAGACACATGAGCAGGCAGTGCTTTCCTTTCTGGGTGTGGGGAAAGAAGAAATTCCAGGGTGTCCTCCCCTGAAAGACTTTGAAGAGTTGCTGAAGAATATTGGAGATGGACAGTCACTTCGAAAATGTAATGGTCACAGCTCTTCCAGTGACAAAGTTCAACTCATGGCATGGACACTGAAAGAGGCCTTGGCAGAGCGCGACCGCCAGGCTTTGTCACACGCTGAGACCATTTCTTTGGCTCGGGATGCCAGGCATAATCGGCTTTTAGTCCGATTTGCTTGTGTTGACTCAAAGTTTCAGACGCACACGGGCGTCGTTGGCCTGATCAAGGACAGTGGTGACAGGGCTGGGCAAGTGGTTGGTGCAACGCGTGAGGCCTTGAAGCGCCTTTGCACCCCCAATGACAAGCCACCTCGATGGTATTGTGGTCCAGCAGCAACCCATGATGCAGGCTTGATGAAACATATTATGGACAAGACAGAGTTGATCACTACAGACGCTGCTGAAAATGAACTTGTGGCTGGGGACGTTGGAAGGGGGCGACGCAACCCTGAGGTGGAAAGCGATTTAGCCACTCCACTTTTCCCAAACATGAAGTTGACTGCCCGTGATGCTCCCCACTCGCTCCGAATGATCTTTTGGCCCTATTTAGCACATTATTTTCGGTTCTGAGTAAAGAATTTGTGATGTGTTGGGTCATCAAGCAGTTCATCAAGTTTTTACTTTAGATTCTTCGGTCAATGCTATCTTCCATTTGTCTTGATAGTCTGATCTATTTCAAGGAAGTGTTTGAAGCTTTTGCGCTTTGTTTTACGCTAAGGATCTTGTCCAGGCCATTTCGCGCAGATGATTATCTTGAGTCCTGCATGCAGTCGATCGTGCTGTCCAAGCAGTCAATTGTCCAGCGAATCTTCCACTCTCCCTTGTTTGCTTCTTGGTTTGAAGCTTTCACCGAGAAACAGGGTGCCACCATGTCGCTTGGCAAAGGTGTCAAGAGCCTTCGCGCAGCCAAACACAGATTTGAAACCCTAGCAACGCCCACTGGAAGGGCTATGCTATGGTTTCCATCCATTTTGGCGACAGCAACCAAGATCATTGCCGAACGAAAGGACACCGATACTGGCCGAGAAATCCGTGCCTGGCTTGAGCAGCTGTCGCTTGCATGTGATTAAGGGTTTTGCATACTGTTTTGCATGTATGATGGAGATGAATATATCTTCACTGTAAATTTTAAAGGGTTGTGTTTGCGTTAGCCCAGGTCCAGTGAGGAAATCCTTCAAACTGCCCTCATTGCAGACGCAGCTGACGAAGGGCTGCTGTTGGTTCGAATGGTGGACGACGAAGAAGTAGATTCAACCATGATTGGGACCTACGTTGCCAATGAGTCCAAGGTTTTGACAACCCCAGGCTATACTCAGCACATCTTGAACATGTTCAGAAATGATGAGCTCATTGTTTTTGTAGGGGGGCCAAGAAGGGTGCGGCCACCATCGGACGCTGTTCTGCAACGGTGCTTGGGTCGTATGAGGGCTTGGGTCAAGCTTTCTCTCCAAGTCGTCCAAACAGAATTTCCCTGTTACAACATCTTTGCATCGTTCGGCGTGTTTGCACTTGGCAAACGTGGGGGCTCAGCAGCTGCAATGCAAGAGGGAGACGCCCTTGAGAGTTCCTTTGCTGCGTGTAATTTTGAAGTCCCGAATTTTTCCGGACAAGTTTCACTACACAAGTATCAATGGTATAATAATATGTAATATTGCCTGGCGTTTCGTCTAAGGTTTCCAGCGGATTGCACAGTTTTTTGAGCTTGACGCCGACGCTTTGAAAGAGCAGGTTGGGAGACTCAAGCCCTTGGCTGTGCAGCATCAGGTCAACACAGGCTGTAGCACCCGTGAAGCGTGGACCTTTGCGCTGAGCCATGCACAGTCCAAGCAAAACCTGAAAGAAACATATCTTGGGAAGGATATTTGCCAGGCAATGTTCCGTGTTCTAGCTTGGCAAGCTAGCAGTTCCGGAGTGGAGCAAAACTTTTCGAAGGCTAAGAGATTGGAGCTCACTGCACGCGGTCAGTCCAGCGAGAACACCGAGAACCTTCTCATCCGCATCGGTTTGGCTAAGCTGTCCAACCAGGAGATGAATAGTTATTCAGTTTGCTTGAGCTTCAATTGTGAACTTCAACACAACGAAACAATTTGTTGGATCAGTTTTTGAAACTTTCAAAAACTTTGGACTACTGTTTGACTGATTTAGCATGAAATATTTAGCCATTGCGACGAGGACAAATCGGATGTATGCAAGAGGGCCGCCATCATCTTCAGCCAGTGTGCACCAGGACTTTGTGGAACTCTGTTTGACACTTGTCAAATCTTGTCAAACTTGCAACAACCAATGAATGTTTGCAGGAGTCTGCCGATCGTGATGCCAATCACGCTTTGACAAGGGGGTTCGACGACAGGGGAAGACAGGCACTCAGGCGTCCTGGATCAAAAACCGTCGTGATGAAGTAGCGCAGGCAGTGAGCTCTTTAAATGACGGGCGGGTGGTGATGCCTGATGCAGTTGTCCTTGATGAAGGTGATTTCTGGACTGACGGCCATGACAAGGAATCTCAATTCCAGGCTGACAAAGAAAGAAAAAGAAAGATGGAATCCTACCAGGACGGTCTTCTTTTGCAGCATGAAGTTGAGGCCGACGCTTCCCTCGATGCCGACTTGGAGAAGCAAAAGAAAAATGATGCCAAGAATGCCGACAAACTCATCAAGCACCGTAAGCTTCAGGAGAGTCGACCTCAATTCGCTAAAAGTTTGAGTCTGGCTGGCAAAGCCTGCCATGTGGGACGGGGCGTGGATAGAGATGAGGCTGGCAAGCTGTTGATGGAATGCAACGCAACCGTGGTTGAAAATCGGAGGGCTGCCCATGTTTACTTGGTGGTGGACGGGCTAAATCCTGGACAAGGAACCACTTGGTATGCAATGCTGGGTGGCAGGACAATTGTTGAATTTGCTGCCTTACAGCCAGGCAAGGTGAGTGGTTTGATCGTTGACTATGGTGCTCCGAAGGTCTGCTCCAAGGTGATCCATGTCAGCCAGAGCTTCAAGGAGAACCATGCTGAGCTGGCGAATGCAGTGATTGACACATGCAAAACATCGGGCCGAGCGAAAGATGCTGCGTACAAGCTTGGAACCTCAGCTCAGGGTCGAACTGGGAATGGCTGGTACACAAAGAGCAGCTTCTTGACTTTGCTTCAAAAATCAGAAAACAGTCTCACGGTATGGGCAAAATTTGCCTATAGTCCAACGGCGGGGGGCGCCAGGGTGAAAAAGCTGCGCTGCGAACTGACTTGAACTGACAGTTCAAACGAACATTTCAAGTCATTCTTCATAAACACAACTTCAGTTACCAGAAGACCTGTCATTTAGTCCATTACAATATAGGCCCAGCCAGCCCAGTCACTTTGCGTTTCAGGGCTGGCAGGGCCCAACTTGAAGCAAGCCCAGCCAGCCCAGTCACTTTGTGTTTCAGGGCTGGCAGGGCTCAACTTGAAGCAAACCCAGCCAGCCCAGCCACTTTGTGTTTCAGGGCTGGCAGGGCTCAACTTGAAGCAAACCCAGCCAGCCCAGCCACTTGAGTGTGCAGGGCTGGCAGGGTTTGAAGTTGCTCCTAATAAGGCTCATTCAATCATTTCAGGCAATTCAAACTGTTTAACAAACGAATTCCAACCATGCCAAAAAGTGTCAAAGCTTTGCTACGATTTGTCGTCGTTTGGAGGCGGTGATTTTAAATGCTCTTTTGTTGCCCTTTTAGTGCTCTTAGCCGACCAGCTCCTCGTTGATGCGGTGCGAAGGATGCGCAAGCATGTTAATATGGAAGGGCGCGACGAATAATATTTTTATGTTTACCATCATTGCACTGAATGGCTTATCAGTCAAGAATACGCACAAAGCAATCTTGAGCAAAACAGTTTGGAGAACGATGACTGATTTTAAATCAGGATAATAAATTATCCGTGGGCCGCGGCGCGATGGAGGTTATTGGTGAGAATGAGGATGCCAAGATTCCGAGCACCTTCGCACGACTTGCACGTGAAGCTGGCTTCAAGAGTCTGTCATACCTCGGCGAAGGCGGATTCGGTATTACAGTCAGAGCAAAAGCCACAGATGGGTCTTTGCACGTTTTGAAGATGCAGAAGGCTGCAAATTCCATTGACGACGCGGCTCTGGACGAGGTCAGAGAGGAAGCCAAACATCTTCGAATGATGCGGCATCCACACATCGTGCAATTCTTCGGCCTGACCAACATCCAGAACACATTGGTCATTGACATGGCTTTGATGCCCGGCGGCAGTCTATGGGACCGCATATTTACATCGTCGATAGGTGTGCATACAACAGAATGTTTGAAGTGGATGAGTCAGTTGGCTTCTGCGCTCCACTACATCCACGACACCAAGAAGTTGGCGCACAGGGACGTGAAGTCAGAGAATACCTTACTCACTGGGCCTCACGGAGACGCAAAATTGGCTGACTTTGGGCTTTGCAAAGATGCTCAGCGAATTGCTCAGGGACAAGTTGTTGACTTGTTTGCCGGCACACCGAACTACCAGCCAAACTCAGTGCACCTTGTCAATATTTGTCAATGACTCACACTTGGACAACTTCCCTATGATTTTCAACAAAGACTATGGTTTTTGGCAACGTACATTTACTTATTTGTTTTCTTTGGTTCCCTAACTTCTGCAGGCTTTCTGGTCAGACACCTTGCGACCAGCGAGCAGACATCTTTGCACTGGGGTGCATCATGTGGGAATGCATGGAGCACTCATTATGCTTCCCCAACTGGGACCGTATTCCGGAAGCCACAAACACAAAGTGGTCCAAACTTCCGGGTCTCGAGACTTGGATACTGTTTTTTGGTGTTGACGGATGTTGACTGATGTGGCACGAATTGATGTTTATTGTTGCTTATTTTGATAGAATTGGCTATATAATTTTGATTGGTGCTTATTGACTTTTGATTGATTGATGTTGCTTGATGTTTGATTGGTTTAGATTGATGTTTGATAGGTTGATGTTGTTTGGTTTTGAATGTTTGCTTTTGTTTGGCTTTGATTGCCTGATTTTGTCTGGTTTTGATTGATTGACTGCTACTGCTTGGTTGAATTCCACCACTGAGGAGGATGTTTGGTTGAAGTGCCTTGACATGGAGGTGGACTTGGATATCAAGCAGGTTGTGAGTGACCTGTCCGAGTTGGACGGTTGTGTAGTTACTCCAGCGCCCAAAAGCCCTACATCTGGCAGTGTGGGGGTGAAACTTGGCGGTGTAAACTAAGAAGTGTTGAGTCAAACCAAGAAGCATTGAGTCAAACAATCACATTTTCAAATGGCTGATGATTGACCACTTTCAAACCAAAACACAATATATACGTTTCCAGTTTCCAATCTGAGGAACTGGCATGAGAAGAGGGTGCGGAGAATGAAAGGTGAAGCGCCACCCCACATTCGCCAAGCAGCAAACCAACAAAGAAAGCAGAGGCAGGGAATGGT